ATGAGAGTTGAGAAGCGAGAGTTTGCATGAGAGTTGATGAGAGTTGAGAAGAGAGAGTTTGCATGAGAGTTGATGAGAGTTGAGAAGAGAGAGTTTGCATGAGAGTTGAGAAGCGAGAGTTTGCATGAGAGTTGATGAGAGTTGAAAAGAGAGAGTTTGCATGAGAGTTGATGAGAGTTGAGAAGAGAGAGTTTGCATGAGAGTTGAGAAGCGAGAGTTTGCATGAGAGTTGATGAGAGTTGAGAAGCGAGAGTTTGCATGAGAGTTGATGAGAGTTGACTGGATCATTACTGCGCGATAGCGAAAACTCTTGTCAACTCTTATTAAAATTTGAACCAGGTCTAAGTCAACGAGAGTGCATGAGAGTGGATAATCAACCAAACTCTACTTACATGAGTTTTCAAACACTGGGAACAAGAGTGGCATGGGAGTTAATGAGAGTTGACTGGATGTTCTGGTCAAACGAACAAAAAGTCTCATCAACTTTCATCAAAAACTTGAACTAGCTCAAAGTTCACAAGAGTGAACAACAAGACTTTGGGTTATGGGATAAAATATTTCTTTAATCTATATGTTATAACCAGAAAAAATATCAAAGTATATTTCAAATTTCTACCATGCATTAATTCTAACATTCTACTCTACATAATATTTACAAAAAATTCCACATCACAACAGTCAAGCAGTTCTTTGATCTATGAGCACTAAATTCCAAAACTTTTGAGATATATGTCAAAGTTCAAACATTCTATGAAATTATATATACAATAATTTTCCATCATGCCTAGATCACAACAGCTGTAGCTAACCATCTTGTTTCCTTCATGTCAGGAAGTTCCTGCCATGAAAATCGCTCAAAATCGAAACCTTCAACTGATTTCAAATCATTCCCTCTCGCCTCCTCGCCTCCTAGTACTACAATTGTATTCTCAATAACAACTGCCATACATGCTCTCCTCTTGTGTAACATGGGAGGCAACATAAGACTGTTTCCAGTCTTCATGTTATAAATTATAACATTGTTTAATGCTTTGTCATCCTTGTCAGCCCCACCAATGATCACGACATTCTCAGCCCACTTTACTGTCGCCATTTCACTCACTGGATAGGGAAGCGCAGGTAACTGTTGACATTCATTCTTCTTGATGTCATAGCTTAACACACTGCTGAGGTTGTCTTTGTAGTCCCTTGATTTCCTTCCCCCAACGATCAAAATACTGTCGTCATACAGTACTGTACTGTGACGAATTCTTGGTTCAGGCATCTTGGATACCAGTTTAACAGTGTGAGGTGGTTTAAGTTGGACTTCGTGAATACAGTCAGAGTAGACACCTTGATCTGTATTATAACCTCCAGTAACCAACAAGCTATCCTTGTACACCACATTGCTGTGTGCACACATCTTGGCAGGGAGTTTCGCAGCAAAATCACTCCAGTTAATTGAAAGATCAGGGACTGGGTGAATGTTCATTCGGATCATGTTATCTACAGAACCATAACAATAACCTCCCGTTACAGTCACGTGATTATTGTAGAGAAATGAAGATGCGCTGTTACGATCCTCTGACATGGGCTTTAAGAAAGACCACAGTCTCTGACGGTAGTTAAATATTTCTACGGAGTTTCTCCCCAGACCACCAGCAACAAATATATGTTGATTTTCTCTCCCGCCACTCGCTGTGCCATTTACATCTCTTGTGATTTCTTCCTGCTTTCTTTCTTTGCTCTCTATCTTCTCAAGTACTGCTTCCTTCAAGTGATCAAAGCCATCTTTTACTTCATTTAAACTCATTTTTATTCCTCTCACTTCATTATTCATCGCTTCGAACTTCGCTTCCACGTTCGCTTGCAAATTTCCCATTTTCGTGTTCATGTTTTCCAGTTTCGTGTCGACGTTTGCCATTTTCGTGTCCGTGTTTTCTATTTTCGTTTTTACATCTGCTATTTCCGTTCTAATATTTGCCATGTTCGTGTTTGTGTTTGCCAATTTCGTTCTGGTATCCGCCTGATTCGTGTTGATGTTCGTGTTCAGGTTTGCGACTTCCGTTTTCATTCCTGCCATCGTGGTGCTGATTTCTCCACAGTTGTGACACTTCAACTTTCTAAATTGACACAGTTCACTCTCGTGATATGTACGATCTCTTTTACTGATTGTCTCACCACAACCTTGATTCCCACAAACGACTGGAGTAAACCCGCATTCAGCGACATGTCGCTTTAAATTCTGCAGCTGTACGAGTTCTCGACATCCTCTGTCGTAATGATCGCAACGTATACTTAGTTCCTTTAGGTAATTCTTCACAATTCTTGGAACGTCTTGCAATGTTTCGACACTCAGCTCGTCAGCACACGTTGGGCATGTATGGGAATTCCTACGAAGATGTTCCGTGAT